AGTACAACTCTTTGATGTAGTACACTCCAGGTATTACAAGCAGGCTCGTCTGAAAGATGGTACTTGCGCATTAAAATTCCAATATTCATATAATATCCTATTTGTTCTTTCATAATCTCTTCTTCACTTAATACTAATCTGAATACGTGATTTATGGTATGGTCTGATTTTTCGTCTTCAATCAAATTTTTACAAGTCAAAGGCTCATCAGAGCATCCATCTCCCCCACTTTTACCTTGATATATAACAATTGAACCTATAGTACTTGACTCTACACTGTTAAGATAATTCACTGTGTCACATTCAAAAACACCTTTCAAACAAAGTTCATCTTGTTCCTTCTCAGAAAGATTAATGGCCAAATTATCAACTTTTTCCTTCTCTATCACTAAATTCTTAGCTTTACTTCTGGTTAATGCACAGACAGGAAATAACTCAGAACTATCTGCAGATTCACACTCAACTGGATCAACTTTCAAAGGTTTAGAACACCCAATGATATTAGGACCCCAGTGATCACCTGCAATATCATTACACAACAGGAAGTCCACCCCCTCATGAGGTAACGTATCTGCTACAGCCACTAAAACCAACTTTTCCACAAACTCTGACTTTAAGTGCACCTTACACAAAGGTAACCTCTCAACACCTCAAATCCCTTTAACTAAAGCATACTGGCCTGTGAATACATCCTCTAAAAATGGTAACACACTCTTCAGTGTCATACTCATCACACCAGCAGTATCTCTCAGAATGAGAATAGAATTTGGAACTCCATTAGAGTATACTGAAACTGATCCCTGAAACTTATACGGTGCGCACAAATAATGTGAATCATTAACGTCAGGCAACCTCTTATTATAAGGTTGACAAAATTGCATTACTAACTGCTGGCTTATACTTCTTATGCTTAAGCTTTGGAGAATCTCTTATTCTATGATCCAAAGATTTACAATAAAAACCAAGTCCCATTAAATTTGGTCTACTAGACACATTAAAGCCTTTACTGGCTGACTCAGTCTTAACAAAATCACGTCTCCTCTGACTCTGATTATGGGAAACATTTGGTTTAACATAGCCAATTTCCTTTGGTGTCTGAACTAAACTATAATTTTCTGCTAACCATGTGGCTCTCTCAACAGAATCTAGCTCTTTCTCAAGACACATCTTGTGGTACTTCTCAAAGATATTGTTCCAACATGATTTATTTCACATACATCATCATACTTGGAAGCTTTCTTGGCACATATCCAAAGATTAAATAATTTCTTCAACATGTGAGAATACTCAACAAAAAACTGACTGGATTCTTTATTACAGTGTCCGAATTTATTTCTGTGAAATTCTGGGGTAAGTCTATAGGACTTATATTATTAAGGACTGCTTCCTCAATTACATCATAATCCCTCTGTTGTGTATTTTCTAATGCCAGCTAAGTGGACCATCCCTTTCCTTTAATGACTGACTGTAGTAATAATGACCAAAATTGGGCTGGCCATGACACACTAGTTGCAACATGCTCAAACTGGAGGAAAAATCCCTGTGGAACATCATTAAAAGGGGTACAAATTTACATTCTTTAGTTATATCAAAGCTAAGAACATGTTCACTTGGCATTGCAGCAGCAGACTGCTGCTCTAAAAGTTCCAATTGAAATTTATGTTCCTTTTCTCTTTCCTCTCTCTCTAATCTTCTATCTTCCAATTTTGTATTTTCCAACTCTATCTCTTTAAGCCTTATTTCTTTATCAAAAATACCCTTTGATTCATGTAGAGGCAAACCATCCTTAAACTTTAAGTGCCCCTATGAAGCTAAATAGTTTAAAACTGTCTCCTTAATTTCAGCTTTTCTCCCAGAACTATCAATATTAATTATATAATAATTTGCAATTCCAATCTAGTCATTCATTTTTGCCTCACAACAATTCTGCTGAAGGTTCATTAAACAAATGCCACTGTTTAGCCACAAAGGGGTGACCTCACTTTTCCTTGAAAAAGCATGAAAATGCTGTTTTTTTTTTAGTAATACTATCAATACTGACAATGTTATTTTTGTTATAAACATTATAATTACTATATAGTTACTGACATTACTAACAGCAGTATTAAATACTAGAAAATATTGAAAACCATGGAAAAGGACAAACAGGTGAGACAGGTAGTTTGCATAATTGGCATGTACGTACGTGTCATGTTCGGAGGCCTGTGGTTAATTACTCCAGCTAGATCAAAAGCAGGCATTGTGACAATCTATTGATCTATACTACAGACTTTCAAGTATAATGCATCAATAAATTTTCCACAACCTTTCCTGCATTCAATATATTTAAATTACGTTAGATCAGGCCCTTATGTTACAATTAACCTTGCTCAGCTAAATCAGAAACATTAACTGTATTTTTCTCTTTCTCTTAGTAAGAATATTATTTATTCATCTAAGGGAATTGTCACAAAATGTGGAAGCAAAATTATTATAATTTTCTAAAGTTAAATTCAAATTGTAATCCTATATGTTTAAAATTCTATTATCACAGTTATTTCTTTCCTCATATTTCAACACAACTCCTCAAAAAGTTTAACTTCTATTATTCTCCGAGATTTACATCTGGTTCTTATCCTTCATTTTTCATTATCTTATATGAATTCTATTTTATATTAGTGCACACAGAATAAATTTCAGCTGGTTTCAACAAGACTTTAACTTCATTCAACAAAATATTCATCTGCACTAATAATCAGAGTTATTCACATTTTTAATTTCTCACTAGATTGAAATTAACATTAACCCCAAGCCACCGGGCATGGCATGTACGTACATGCCATTGCTCATTGTGTTGAATTTAGTAACTGTTTTTACATATTGATGTCTCCACAAGTACGGTCACCAATGAGCCAATTACGCAAAGTACCTGTCTCACCTGTTTACCCTTTTCCTTGATTTTAGATATTTTCAAATACTTAATACTGCTGTTAGTAATGTTAGTAATAACATAGTAATTATAATGTTTATAACGAAAATAACAGTGTCAATATTGATAGCATAATTAAAAAAAACGTTTTCCTGCTTTTTTCAAAAAAGTGAGGTCGCAAAGTTATATTTCGTCATTTCGGTGACTATAAGGCCAGTGCATTAAACTTAACGCGATCCCCTTCTATTTTCCCGCTCTATAAGATAGCGGTTCCAATTTTCCTCTATCTACGCGCGTCCGTCTTCAACCTCTACTATAGTTTGTTCCGTCGGCATTGGGTTAAAATACTTTCACAAGCTCCGATAATCTTACCTTGTTCCTTTCGGTTTTCACACGACTGATACGTTTCATAGTTTGTTATAGCTGGATCATTCAACATAACTAAATTAATCAGTTAAATAATTCATTCCAGGATGCAGTAAGATTATAGGAAATATTTTACACTAATACAATTATGTAAGATATATTATCAACACTATGATCTCTGGCAAAGGCCAACAAAAAGAAGGTAAATGTGTTAATATTTATATATTTTACTATTCATTGGGTTTAACAAAATATACCATATCATTAGGCGGATGCTATAAATCAAGAAAGTGTAAGACAAGGAATTATCACTGTTGGTAGACGAAATCCCTTAAATAAAATAAAAAAATCTGATAGCGAAACAGGAAAAAAACAACAACCTGGGCGTGACACACATTCTAGGCACATAAATTCTTAAATATACCTAAAATAAAGCACAGCACTATTTGTATATAACCTCAAATCATCACGTTGGACTTCTATTGCTTCAGCGAGACTAAGCTTAAGAGTCAAATCACGATAAAAAACAAATTACAAATCCTTAAGTCTCACCTCCACCGTATTCCTTGTCCCTGAGTCACCACCATTACTGTACTGATATTACGGTACTTTTTCTGTAATTCGGGATTACACAGAAAACGGGAATACCAAGAGGGGCAAAAATAATTAAGGCTTCCCTTAATTAACGAGAAGCAACTCGGGTTAAAGTAGGGAGTGAGGGAAAGGGAGAGACATAAGTACGCGTGTGTGTGAGTATTTAAACTCATCCACGCATGTCCATACAGGTAGATTCGACTCAAGATGAATTCTACCATAGGGAATGATCCTGATAGATATAACATCAGTAATGATACTTGTGAAAAAGTAATGGAAGCAATTACTTTACAATAATGTAAAAATTATGTTCAGAGCGTTTTTTTTTTGTTGTTGTTGTTTAATAAAAGAACGTTACTTTACTTTCCATTGATATATATGAAGTACTGCTCCAAGGGAAACCCAATATTTATTAATTTCCAAAAGATAAGTGAGGATATGAGTGCAAAGTACGGGACAGGACACCTTTCATGTGTTATAATAAAAGAAACTCGTTATAATTACGTTAGACTGATACATAATGCGATATCTCTGTGTATCACAAAGCCTGTTTTATTTCAAATGATCAGTTACGAAGGAAATCTAATAATAATTTTATATAATGAGCAAATAATGCTTCCTTTAAAAAGAAGAGAACTAATTAGATAACATGGCGCCTGTTGTGTAACACAGTTTAAAATAATTCTTAAAGGGTTAAAAGTCTAGTCATGGAAAATAAAACGGTATATTTTGCAACATATATATTAATATATGCTTCAAATGTGTTAATATTTTAACTTTTTTAATATTCTATAATTTGATGGAGTTGGAGGGTAATGACGCAGTGACTTATACTAAAATATAGCGGAATAAAGATTCAAGATAGGTGTCCTTTTAAGACATTTCTGCGGTAAAGGTTCCTCTGTGTGTACAGCCGTCTTTAAATGTGTGTGTGTGTGTGTGTGTGGTGTGTGTGTGGTGTGTGTGTGTGTGTGTGTGTGTGTGTGTGTGTGTGTGTGTGTGTGTGTGTGTGTGTGTGTGTGTGTGTGTATCACCTAGATGTCTGTTTATATGTGAACATCGGTCTGCTTCTGTACTTGTGCGTATAATCAAAAATGCATTAAGGATTATTAAGCTCAAATGAAACCAGAAATCAATAGATTCTTTATTACTCTCAAACAAACGTAATATACCCAGGCATCACAGATTCTATCAGTCGCTTCCAGTTATGAACATTTATCTTCTTTAGAACTCACATTATAAAAATCGAAAATTAACGAAAAATTGTAACTCGAGCTGCCATATCTCACTGTTGTTTAGTTTCCTGTTGAAAGTTTTATATGTGTTAATATCGAGGACTTAGATAAGTACAAACATAATACGATTAAATATGTATATAACATAAAGAAGTATAAACGTTAATACAATTAAATGTGTAGACACAGTTAAAAACGTGTATATATATATATATATATAATATATATATATATATATATATATATAATATATATATATATATAATTTTCTTTTTAATCATTACATAAACAAATACTTTCATATATACATAAATATACCCATTCTATTAATCGACTAATAGGCAGAATATACACAATAGACGACTTAATATCTACATTAGAGTGTCAATGGTAACATACCTCGTGAGATAAGGCTGACATCGAGATGACTTGAACAGAGGAATGTAGGCCTATGCTTCTCTGGCTACTCATTGGATGCTGGGAAAGGATAAAATGAGGTAAGTTTGGCATTTGTGAGAGAGGGAGAGGTGGGGAGAGAAATTGAGGGAGAGGGAGAGGTGGGGAGAGAAATTGAGTGAGAGGTAGAGGTGGGGAGATAAATTGAGGAGGGGGAGAGGAGGAGGAGAGGGAGAGGTGGGGAGATATTGAGGGAGAGGGAGAGGCATTAAGGGAGAGGGGGAGGGGGAGAGAATTGAGGGAGAGGGGAAAGAAATTGAGGGAGGGGGAGAGGGGAGAGAAAACTGAGGGAGAGGGAGAGGGGGAGAGAAACTGAGAGAGGGAGAGAAATTGAGGGAGAGAAATGAGAGAAGGGAGAGAAATTGAGGGAGAGGGGAGAGAAACGAGAGAAGGGGAAAGAAATTGAGGGAGAGGGAGAAGGGGAGAAAACTGAGGGAGGGGAGAGAATTTGACGGAGAGGGAGAAGTGGGGAGAAACTGAGGTAGAGGGAGAAGGGGAGATAAATTAAGGGAGAGGGAAAGGGGGACAGAAATTGAGGGAGAAGGAGAGGAGAGGAATAGAGGGAAAGACAGGGTGAGTGAAAGTAGAGAGAAGGGTTAGATGGTTGAATAAACAAACACTCGAATAGACATGTAAACTTTTACTTCATAAAGCATAAATTATGCAGAAAAAATCCACAAACAACTCATTCTCCCCCCTCTCTCTCTATCTCTCCTCTCTCCCTTCCCTCCTCCTTTCCTCTCTCTCTCTCACCTCACCTCTCTCACTCCCACTCTCTCCCTGTCCTCCCCCCCTCTCTCTCTATCCCTCTCTCAACCTCCCTCCCTCCCTTTCCTCCCTCTCCCTCTCCTTCTTTCCCCGTCCCCGTTCCCTTCCTCTCTCCCCTCTCTCCCCCCCCCTCCCTCCCTCAAACACACACTCACCTCTCTAGTAACTTCCTCCAGACGGCGAGTATCGTCTACTTCTTTTCTTTTCACTCTCTTCAGTCTGTGAAAGGAAGATATGTATCTTAATCTCATTTCCCTTTCTACGTTTTTTTCAGCATAATTTGAGATTATATTTCATCTCATTGTAAAATCTCGAGTCAATCATTATTATTACAAAACTAAAAAAATATATATCACAGTTGGGTAAGTAGTTAATGCATGTTTATTTTATTTATTTTATTGATTTTACTCTTTATCCAATCCAAAGATATACACAATACACATATATTGGTGAGCAATCCATTAATATTCATCTGCCAATAATTAATGACTTTACATTGAAGTTATCTATTGCGTTGAACTATGACGATTTTACAACGAAACCCTTCTATGATTAATGATGATTCTTCAATGAAAATATCTAGCTATGAGGCGTGTGGTGATTTGACAATGAAACAATCCACTTAACTATGCTGATTTGATAATAAAAACACCCAATTTTATGACCTTTTGTGATTTATCAATGAAAATTTCTACTTATATGACCTGTGGTGATTTAACAAACTACTTACTTTTATTGTGATTTTGCAATGAAAATACCCACTGAGACCTATGGTGAGTTATCAATGAAACCATTCACTCATACGCCCTATAGTGATTTAACAATGAAACCACCCAATGAAACCCATTCCTAATACGACCCATGGTGATTTAAACAAAGAAACCAGCTACCTATACGACCCAAAGTGATTTAACACTGAAACCACCAACTGATGCGACCTGAAATGACTTAGCAATGAAACCACCTACTTGCATGACCTTTCAAACTAACTGACATCTGGAACATCAAACTTTACACTGATAACTAAAGAAAAGACATACTGATAAGTTGTTTATATTTTGATGAAGAATGGTATACGAAGAAGACAAAATGAGTATGTTGATTCATTGAAAAGAAAAATATACTTTGATATTTTCAAAAGACAAATAGCCAGTTAAATTGTATAAAACACCATCTAACAAGAATATTATCTACTTAAAAGACCTGCTCAATAAACTACCTACTTTTACGATCTACTATATAAACTATCTACATGAATGACCTGCTTGATAAACCATTTACTTATATGACCCACTTAATAAACTGCCAAGTTATACTACTACTTCATAAGCTACCTACTTACATTACCTACTGCATAATCTATCTAATTACATGAACATCTGTCTACTTACATAACCCACCTACTTATCCAACCTACTGCAAAAAACTAGCGACTTCTACAACCTACTAAATAAGCTATTTACTTATTTATCCAATTCCATAAAATATTTTCATCATAAACTACCTACTTATACAAGCAACTTCACAAACGATTTACTCACGGAACCTGCTTCAAAAACTACCTACTTGTACAACCAACTGTACAAAAGATTTACTTGTCCATCCTACTTCATAAGCTACCTACTTATACAACCAACTTCATAAACTATGTAATCATGCAACCTGTTCCAAAGACTACCTACTTATACAACCAATTTCATAAATTATTTATTCACGGAATCTGCTTCAAAAACTACCTACTTATACGACCTACTACATAAACTACTTAGTCATTGAACCTACTTCAAAACTAACAACTTATACAACCAACTTCATAAACTATGTAATCATGCAACCTGTTCCAAAGACTACCTACTTATACAACTTCATAAACGATTTACTCACGGAACCTGCTTCAAAAATTACCTACTACATAAACTATTTAATCATCGAACCTCCTTCAAAAACTACCTACTTATACAACCAACTTCACAAACGATGAACTTGCCCATCCTGCTTCAAAAAACTACCAACTTACACAACCTGCTGCGTTAAACTACATACATCCCATTACATTACACTCACAGGCAGGTACTCACATAACGACAGTAACTACGAGAGCGACGACGACGAGGAAGAGGACGCCGCCGACGACCGAGGCAACGAGGCCAGGGATGTTCCTCGAGGGCGTGTCTGTGTGGTAATTTGGTATAGGTTAATGCAGTGCTGAAAAATGAAAGGGAAAGTAGGTATTGTCATATTGATGGGAGAGGATAGGGTGAGGTATGGAATTTTTGAATGTTTTTTTTTTCTCTCTCTCTCGCTCTCGTTCTCTTTCTCTCTCTCTCTCTTTCTTTCTCTCTCTCTCTCTCTCTCTCTCTCTCTCTCTCTCTCTCTCTCTCTCTCTCTCTCCTCTCTCTCTCTCTCTCTCTCTCTCTCTCTCTCTCTCTCTCTCTCTCTCTCTCTCTCCTCTCTCCTCTCTCTCTCTCTCTCTCCTCTCTCTCTCCTCCTCTCTCTCTCTCTCTCTCTCTCTCTCTTCTCTCTCTCTCTCTCTCTCTCTCTCTCTCTATATAATATATATATATATATATATATTATATATATATATATATATATATATATTTTCTCTATTCGTAGTTAATCTGACAATGTACAAACTAGATTTATTGCAGATTTATTAGTTTGTGCATTATGGGTTTGACTATCATAGTATCAACACGGTAGAGTGTTTTTTCCCCCCGTTCATTTCTCTCTTTCTATTTCCCTCTCCCTCTCCCTCCCTTCCTCCCCTTCTTCCTCTCTTCCACTCCTCCTTTCCTTCCTATCCCCCATTCCCTCTGCTTGCTCACACAAACGCCCCGATGTACCTGTAGCTGACGTCACAGTGATATTCTGGCCGCTTCCACAATGGGTCTTGTCAGCGCAGGGTTGTATGAGAAGCACACTGCCTTCCACTTCATCTTCATGTAGTGTGAACCTGGTGAAGAAACGGATGTGAATATATTGTGTCATATATTACATGCGTGTCTGAACATGTTTCAACTGTTGGGGGTTTCTGTTAGTATTTCTCGAATTGCCAAAAATGGAAACAAAAAACAGAAACAAGAAATTCCAAAAGAAATCTTAAAGAAAATAATAACGAGAAAACAAAACAATTGCAAAAAAAATTAAAAAAAAAAAAAGGAATTTTTAAAGAACTAATAACAAGAAACAAAATAATTGAAAAAAGCATGAAAAAAGAAATACCAAAAGAAATCTTAAATAAACTAATCACAAAACAACAAAAAATAACTCAGTATCGCCAAAAAAAAAAAAAAGTAAAAAAAAAAAAAAAAAAAAAAAAAAAAAAAAAGAAATCTCAAATACACTAAAAACAAAGAACAAAATAACACAGAATTGCCAAAAAAAAAAAAAAAACGCATAAAAAACAAGAAATACCAAAGAAAACCTTAAACAAACTAATAACAAGACCCAAAACAACCCATAGACTCCAATCCCACCTTCAACAAACACACAAAATCCTGAATCAGCCACAAAGAACAAACGACAAATAAAACCGACGTAAAACCAAATATAAACTCCGCCAAAACTCACGATTCCCGCTTTAACATCTCCGTGAGTTTGACAGAGGAGCGGGAACTGTCACTGAATAATGTCACGTTGTAGAGTCTGGCATCTCCTGTCTCCCTCCATGACACTGTCACGTCTCTGCCACCAGATGAGGACCGCTGGTTCAAGTCTGACATTGCTGTTGGGGCATTCGTTTTATTATTATTATCATCATTATTATTATTATTATCATTATTATTATCATTATTATTATATTTGTTATTATTATTATTATTATTATTATCATCATATTATTATCATTATTATTATTATTTGTTATTATTATTATTACCATTATCATATTATTATTATATTTAATATTATTATCATTATTAACGTTAACGTATTCATTATGTTTATCGTTATCATTATATTCATATTATTATTATTATTATGTGATTATATTTATCATTATTATTGTTATTATTAACGTTAACATATTCATTACATTTATCGTTATCATTATATTCATATTATTAGCACTATTATCATTATTATCATTATGTGATTATATTTATTATTATTATTGTTATTATTAACGTTAACATATTCATTATATTTATCGTTATCATTGTATTCATATCTATTATTATCACTATTGTCATTGTTGTGGTTACTTGCTATTCATGTCTTTTTTGAGAGCTTAAGCATTATTCTTATTATATTATTATTATTTGTAGTGGTATCACTGTTATCATTATCTTTATTATTCTCTTTTATAAACATCATAGCCATCATTGTCGTTAAACTCATTATTATCATTATCATTATCATCACCGTCATCACCATCATCATTATTATCATTGTTATTCATCATTATAAGCATTGTTATCATTATTGTTATCATTAGCTATGAAGGAATCCAGCAAAACCATGTCGTTGCCTATTAATACACACGAGGAAGTCCTATTATCACTGATGATTGGCATGAGGTCCTATTATCACCCTTAAGGAATAAGATCATCCATGGAGAATAAAGTCCTATCGCCATCCAAGGGAAATAAAGTCCTATTATAATCCATGAGGAAGAAAGTCCTATCACCATTCAAAGGGAATAAAGTCCTATCATCCATAGGGGATAAAGTCCTATCTTCATCCAAAGGTAAATGAGTTCTAATCATCCTCCAATGGGGAATAAAGTCCTATTATCATCTGAAGAGTAAGAAAGTCCTATCATCCAAGGGGAATAAAGTCCTATCATCATCCAATGGAATAAGTCCTATTATCATGAGGAAGAAAGTCCTATATCCAAGGGGAAAGTCCTATCATCATCCAAGGGGATAAGTCCTATCAATCCAAGGGGAATAAAGTCCTATCACCATCCAAGGGGAATAAAGTAGATCATCCAGATCCCAATAAGTCCTATCATCATCCAAATAAAAGTCCGAGGGGAATAAAGTCCCTATCATCATCCAAGGGAATAAAGTCCTATCATCATCCAAGCCAAGTCCTATCATCATCCAGAATAAAGTCCTATTATCCAGAAAGTCCTATCATCATCCAAGGGGAATAAAGTCCTATCACCATCCAAGTCCTATCACCATCCATGGGAATAAAGTCCTATCATCACCCAAGGAGAATAAAGTCCTATCACCATGAAGAAAGTCCTATCATCATCCAAGGGGAATAAAGTCCTATCATCATCCAAGGGGAATAAAGTCCTATCATCATCCATGGGAAATAGTCCTATCAAAAGCCATGAGTAATAAACTCCTTTTACAACGCAGGAGGAAAATAAGTCAGAGTCCTCTCATCACCCAAGGGGAATAAAGTCCTATCATCACCCATGAGGAAAAAAGTCCTATCACCCAACCTGAGGACTTGACCCCTCACACCGCCAACAACGCACCTGGGAAAGCGAAGACCATCTCCTTTCTCGAACTCTTCACTCCATCCCTTTCCAGAGCCACTTCCACCTGAGTGCCACCTTGCACTTCAATGGCCCTTTCACAGTCGCCCTTCAGCCCCGAGCAAGAGTGCCAGAGGGGTGCCTGGTTATAGGAGGTCGTGATTGCGTAGTGGCACTTCGACTCGGCACAGGGAGGTCTTGGCTCTTCCTGCCATCGGATTAACAGCTGATTGTTGTTTGGCTGAACAGCTGATACGATTTCTATGCCTGTGTGGGGCCAAGGAACGTGTTTTTAAGGGTCTGGATTATTCTGTACAGGATCTGCTTTCTTATTTTTAAATTGTATTCCTTTGTACTGGATCTACTTTCATAAGAGTTGGCAATGTGTGTTTGGAATTCTATGTGTATCCCATTTTATCGCTTCTACTGTATTCTATGTAACCTTCTATGTAGTCTTAGGCTACTTCGTTTTGTATTATATTTCGTTTTATGTCTACAGAAAAAAATTCAGTTCAAGATGCAGGAAAAAAATTCGTCACCTAATTTCTACTCAAAAAATCGTTTTCTGTTTATTCATTTTTAGTTTTATAGCAACAAAAAAAGAAGCATGTCACTCGAAAATCAGTTCAGTCTAAGACGAAGGGAAAATTTCTTCACCTTCGAATGCTACGAGTTGTTCGAGTTACTCACCCTCCTTCAGATAATCAGCTGATACCGGCTTACTCGCGCTCGTTTCCGTCGTCGCTCTTACGCTCACCACCCACCGCCCTGGCGAAAGGTTTCCGGAAGTCCAGCTCGTCGTCTTGACCTCTTCTTGACCTCCGCTGCTGATTCCTCCTCGTCGAGGTCGCCATTCCACGAGGTAACCTGAAGCTGAGACGACCCCGTTCCACTTGAGGAGGTCGTTCTCGAAGACCAGGTCCGTGGGAGAGTCAACGGGGTCGTCCTTCCCTGTGTGGATATTGAAGGATTTTATTATAAAGGATAAACCAGAAAAGAGCTAATCCTAGCCAATTGTTTTCCTTTTGTCTTTATCTATTGTTGTCGTTTCTATGTTGATTCATCGATAACCTTTGAGAATCTTCATAAGCGGGACTGTCTTTCGTTTTTTAAAATTAAATTTTACCTATTCAACAATCCACTATTATATTCATATACTGAATGACTCTATTTGCCTATAAGACTTAATTTATTTATTTTATCATATTCAGTTTTGTGACATTTGTTCAGTACTTCAAAAAAGAAAAAAATAGAAAAATAAATGATTCCCACCTAGTTGAACCCCTTTGCATACGTGATTCCCAGCAACGCCCTTCCTGACGGCGCTGACGCAGACTTCGTAGGCCTTTTTGGGATCGAGAGTCAGGACCTCCACGCTAGGACTCGACGCGGGGACGATCCTGTGATGCCGCCCTTGATCCCTGAAGTCCGGCTCGACGTCCCTGAAGCCCTGGGCCACGATAGGGAGAGGATGCCTCGGCCTGGCCTGGTTGCTCGTACTCGACACGGCGGAATTCGAACTCGGGGCAGCTTTCGTCCACGTTATGACGTAGTTGGTGACGTCATCTTCGTCTCCGGGTTTCTGCCACGTCACGAGGGCCTTGTCGAGCCCGGTGGTCTTCACTTTCACCTCGGCCACTTCGGGGATTTCGACTTTGGAAGGAAAGGAAGTCTGGGTTAAGGTTTTGGCGTCTTTCGATCTTTCCCTTTCTTCTTTCACACCTTCTCGCTCACCTTTCCGTTTCTCATTCGCTCTCTCTGTCTGTCGGTCTCTCTCTTTCTCTCTCCTCCCTCCGCTTCCCCCTTTCCTTTTCTCCTTCCCTTCCTTCCTCCCTCTCCCTTTCCTTCCCTTTCCTCTTCTCCATTCTTCCCCCCTCTCTCTCTCTTTCCTCTGCCTCATTCCTCCTTCCGTCCCTCCCTTCCTCTACCTCCTTCCTCTTCTCCATTCCTCTCTCCCTTTCCTTCCCGTTCCTCTCCTCCATTCCTCCCCCCCCCTCTCTCTCTCTACCTCCTTCCTCTTCTCCATTCCTCCCTCCCTCTCCTTCTCTTTTCTCTCCTCCATTCCTTCCTTTTTCTTTTCCTCCATTCACTCTGCACTCTCCTGACCCTTGTTAAAAAACTCGAGAGTGCCTCACCGTCAACACCAGGGACGGAGAAAATGTCGCTACACACTTCTCGACTCCTGAGGATAGAGCCAGCATCTTCCACAGACGCAGCGACACAGACAGAGTAACGCCCCGGTGCCACGCCCTCGAAAACGTGTGACGTCACCGTACTACTGAGTACTACCGGGTCATTCTTCCTGCCGTCGGTCGCCCGTTCGAGGGTTACGTAATAGCTGGTGATTTTTTCCGGGTCGTCGAGGAGGTGCCAGGTCGTGATGAGGTCGTGGTTGGTCTCGTTAACCGCGTTTAAGACCTTCCTTTTGGGGCTAAGGACTGAGGAAAAAGATATATGGAGAGATAGCATTTAATTTTGTTTGTATCAGTAAGTATTCATGGATGGCATTCACACACACACACACACACACACTCAAAACGCACACGAAATAACGACTCACAGAATTCCTGTATGGTCGCTGTTCCAGAGGCCACAGGCATATCCGATGCATCGAAGGCAGTGACGAGCGTCCTCAGAGACAAGTAACCTCCTAAATCGACCTCTTCCGCGCTGAGAACGCAGGTGAAGTCGTCCTCCTGCTGGGGGAAGACCCGTCTGGACTCCAGCACGAGGCCTTTCTCGTCCTCCAGGCTCAGGAGATAGTGGGAGGCCTTCGGGGCGGGGTTGAAGCACACTTGCAGGCGATTTTCGTCAGTCAAGGCAGTGCTGTATATACGAAGGGCTATGGAAGGAAAGGGGAAGGGAGAGGCGGAGGGGGACGGGAGAGGAGAGAGAGGGGAAGGAGAAGAGAGAGAGAGAGAGAGAGAGAGAGAGGAGAGGGAAAGAAGGGATAGGAAGAGGAGTGGAAAATAATAGAAACGTTAGAATGCTAAAAGAGAAAGAAAATATCTTTTATTTTCCCAAACATTACTTTGCAAACAAGGAAAACTTAACGGAACATACTCGACATGTCCAGCAGAGGAAGTGGCACCTCTACTTCCTGACTCACGCGAGCATCGACTGCCTTCAGCGTGACAACAAGAGGTGATTCTCCTCTATCCACGTGAAGGTATCGTACGCACTGTGGGTCCTGCTCTCCATCGCACCCCCCTGCCAGACGTAGGGCACCGATTAGGACTTCGTAGCCCAGGGCCCGATGCACGTCCTTCCATCCTACCCTCACGGTCCTTGGGCCTACTTGCCTGACGTCTATTAGTCCGCGTGGGTCTGCGGAACACAGAAAATCCTGTTTGTGAATTTTAACATCTTAGAGGGAGAGTGGAGTGGAGAGTGAGAGAGAGGAGAGAGAGAGATGAGAGGGAGATTATTAAAGGATTATTAAGACGAAAAAAGGGACGAGGAACTTACCCAAAAGGTGCGCCTCGATGTCCCCAACAGCGCGGACTCTCTCGCCCTCCATTTCCTCGCGCTTCACAATGACCTTCAACTTTTGCCTCAAGTCGAAGTCGAAGCCGAGTGAGAGGTCGCCGAAGCACAGGTCATCCTCGACACTGGAGGACGACGAGAGCGACGATAGATCTGAAGGCGAGAGCAACTGACGGCCGAACGCATCCACGACCACCAAGCTGTATTTGGGACTCCCAGCTCGGGTCATGACCTCGCCGCCCTTCCCGTTCGCGAACAGCTCGTCCTTGAAACACACGGAAAGACTTGGCTTCTTGCCCGCCCTCTCCCTCGCGATTAGGCGCGTGATGGTTATGGCTGGAACGATTTTGAAAACGTTTTAGGGTCAATGTCCTGTGGAACTAATTCTAAAGATAAAGGTGGGTACACACTTGTTGCATTGCCACATATCGTATCATCACTGCGTATGTTTGTATCATGTTTTGACACGCAACGGTGCAACGCTATCCCGTCCACACTGCTACGCATCGATGAAACTACACGTGGAAATGCAACAAGAGCGCACGCGGCTTAAGAAACGTCGCAAGAAAAGGAGAAAAGGAACCACGATGGCCAACTCACGCGCCGAGAAGCCTTCCGCTATCTCCAACTGCAAGAAAGCCGACACGGTCTTAGCGTCGTCGCCTTTTCTGTTCACGTTTGCCGTGCACCCAGCGCCTTCCGGTAGTAGAAGGAAGAAGGCTAAACACTTGGCACTGTCCTCGGGCTGTTCGCCACCGCATTCCACTGTCAGTACGCTGGGGAAACCTTCCGGAGGAGGATTCATCGTAATCGTGAAATTTGAGGCTTGTGAGGATTTCCATGATACTTCGAGGTCCGTGTTGGTGAGCTGTTCCATGCGTGTCTGGAAATCTGGAAGGTGTGGTAAGTCTTTCTGAGACAAGAAGGCATTTACTTATTTATTCATTTATTATTATTATTTATGAAAACCACCAGAGCCAACGTTTGGAGCCTGCTTTTATGTTGAGGCTCGGTAGCATAATGTAAGTGTTAAGTGCTACTCTCATTCTTATTGCCACGCCAAAGATGAAGGAAATGGGATTACAATGCATGTACTTTGCGCTTATCAACACGCATAGGCGCTTTTGCAAACAAACAAACAAACATGGTCCCTTGATTTACATCTGTATATTGTTTTTTTTCAGAAACGGAGAAATTTACCTTCAAATTCAATGGTGTTTGACTCAACCACACCGGCCTTGTTATCCAAAGCCATCAGCAAGATTTTAAATATAGTGTTCTGTGGTGCCACTGGAAACACACAGGAAGCGCTTTCGATGTTGCATGTTAAAGGAGTCGATGTTTCTATCCCAGCGTCATCATAGATCATGGTCTCCATGGTAACGGAATTGGCATCGAAGTCTGCAGTGACTCTCAACTCTTTTTCAGGTAATCCTTTATCCATTAGGTCCAGGCCCGTGACAGCCAAAACTGTCGATACAAGTACATATTTTATTTATAAAACAAAAAAGAAAAGGGGAAAAAAATGTACAAAAATAAAGTTACAGGATTGTATAACAATTTTGCATTTCCCTTCGTACGTTTCCCACTCCCTTCATTTCAATCACCTGTCAACCTCATGTCAAAGAAATGCTTCTCGACCTACGTTTTTTCACTACATAGCTCCCGGTCATGTCACACTGCTCCACGCCCGACCCTGTATCTCTGCACACTTCAGGAGGCTCCAGATAGGTATCAGACTCAAGGAAATAACACACAGACTTGGCACGACAGACATTGCCATTTACCCTCACGTCCAAATCGCCATTTTCAACCTTCAGGGATTTCGTTTCTTCCGATCCCACTTTCGTCATCTTGGGAGGAACCAAATCTGAGAGAAGGTGGGTGGGGGGGGGGATAATCAGTGGTGTAATTTTTAATTGGTTGTGATGGTGGTTAGGGCTAATGCGGCCGGTTTGTTAGAATTGTGCGAGGTCCGACCCAAAGAATATTCGTATACTTGACATGCATAGATAAAGAAATAAATGCATATTCATCAGTCTACACATGCATATCAACCCGGTAAATAGATGGTTAAATGTATATCTATCAGATTTATAGACAGATATGCCTTTATTTCTGCATCTGTATTTATGAAGATGTATTGGGTCGGGTCTGGCACAATTTTAACAAATTGGCTGATGGTGATGTTGATGATACTGGTGATGGTGGTCATGAGGATAAAGAAAACAATAGACAATGATAATGATGATAATAATGATAACCATGATGATGGCAATGACCATAGTAATAACATTTGAATTAATGGTAATAGTAGTAATAATAATAGTCGCAGTCATTGTCATATTAATAGTATTAATAGAATGAGTGGTGGTGGTAGTGATAGTGATAGTGATAGTATAGTGGTAGTGGTAGTGGTAGTGTAGTGGTAGTGTAGTGTAGTGGTAGTGTAGTGGTAGTGTAGTGATAGTGATAGTGAAGTGGTAGTGGTGGTAGTGGTAGTGGTAGTGTAGTGTAGTGTAGTGGTAGTGGTAGTGGTAGTGTAGTAGTAGTAGTAGTAGTAGTAGTAGTAGTAGTAGTAGTAGTAGTAGCAGCAGCAGCAGCAGCAGCAGCAGTAGTAGTAGTAGTAGCAGTAGCAGCAGCATAGGTAGAAATAGCAGTAGTAGTCGTTAACATAGTAGTTGTAATAGTAGGAACAATAACAATACAACAATAATGATAATAATGATCACCAGTAATAAAAATTATAATGATAATAATGATCACCAATAATAAAAATTATAATGATAATAATGATACTAATAACAATAATAATTATAATAATAACTACAACAATGATAATAACAATGACAACAATAATAATAATGGTGATAATAAACACTACTACTACAACCATTTCTATTACTGCAGCCACTCCTACTGCTACCACTATTATTATTATATTGCTATTACTACAGCTAATAGTGATGATAATATTGATAAAGCAACAGTAACAACTTTTCGTTACACTATGACTAAAAACACAATAAACATGGCAATATTCATAGCTAAATTCACATGCAAATTTAATACCAATAGATTTTTAAAATGATAATGATAATGTCATCAACATGAGCGATGATAATAATTGTAACACTCAACAAAAGAAGTCATTTTGAATTTCGCTCCTTTCATGGTGCTGCCCTCTGTTGCCGGGCGAAAGAATTATTCAGTCACTGTATGTAGTAGCCATTGTCTCGACCTAGCGTTGTGAAACCTTGTTGTTGTACTGATTTAAGATTCTGTGGTAATTTTCTATATTACGTCCGCATAATCGATCTCGACGATTTTGGTATCGTTGGATTCCTCTTACTCTCCTCATTGCAAATATATAGTTTTAATTGCGCGGAAACCCCCCGTTAGCGACAAACTTGGCCCCGATAGCAGGGGAGGGCATGAAAGGTTCCAGGGAAAATGCGGGGTTAAATAGCACTAATAATATAACGCACAGTGAAAATAACCATGGTTATTCACATAACCTTCCATTGCAGGGGGCTGCACCCCCTGTGACCCCACGGGGGGGCTGCCGCCCCCAACCCCCACCGAGAAAACAAAACCTCCACCTCTAGAGCGTTACACAATCATCGTCAATGTCGGAGCAGCGGGCGTAATATTACAATTACCTTCACATTCTGCGGCAAAGGAGCGCCCTCCTTACCAATTAGCAGCATTAATCAATCAGGTTAGTACCTTAAAAATCCTAGATTATTGTAGGTTATCGGCTCCGCGCTCTATCCTGCCATGAATACGTGGTGGAGGTTTTGTTTCCCTTGCAATGGAAAATCATGTGAATAACCATGATTATTTTCACTGTGAGGTTATATTATTAGGGTAATTTTATATATTACGTCCGCCGCTCCGACATCGTCGCCCCCGTTATTGGGGCCAAGTTTCCACACAATAAAACCTACATATTTGTACTGTATAGAGTGAGAGGAATCCAATAATACCAAAATCGTCGATATCGGTTATATGGACGTAATATAGAAAATTACCGATTCTGTTGACTTAGCAAACGCCAGAAACTGTGAGTTTTAAGAGGTAAACATTTAATTTTCTGTTTGGAAACGCATTAGGAAAAGTTACGAAGAATACTATGGGTGACTCTGTAAACATGATTCTAGTTCTAAGCAAAATAAAGAAAAGGCAAAGTTGGTATTTGGGTAATTTTCCTAATACATCCGCATAACGGATCGTGACGATTTTGATATCATCGGATTCCCCTCGCTGTGTTTAATGCAAATATATAGGTTTTATTAGGCATAACCCCCCAAACCGACAAGCTTAGCCCTGATAGCAGGGTAGGGCAAGAAAGGTATCAGGGAATTGCTGGGTAGAATACGAAAATTTAACACAGAATCAGTCACCGTATTATCAACCACCCCATGGGGGGCTTCCGACCCCAACACCCGCCCACGAAAACAAAGAATCCACATATTCATGGCAGGAGAGAGCGTCCGACAGACTTGGCACAACACTCTCTCTTGCAGTGAATATGTGGAGGATTGTTTTCTTGGGCGGGGGTTGGGGGTCGGCAGCCCCCATTGGGAGGTTGCAGATAATATAGTGATTGGTTCTGTGTTTATCATTCATATTTTACCCAGCAATTTACCTGCTATTGGGGCCAAGAAGGGGTGGGGGGTGGGGGGTTTCCGTGAAGTAATTTCTATGTATTTGAAAGCTAGAGAGTGAGAGGAATCCGATGCCAATATCATCACGCTCTGTTAGGCAGAACTACTAGAAAAATTATCAGCATTTGTAACAAAATAAGAAATTTATTCTCTGTTAATGCTTATTAGTCAGCGGTTGTCAAGACATGCCATCTGCTTCTGCCTGCTTAGGTCACAAATACAATAAGAATGACAATAGTAACAGTTACAATATAACCAGCACCACAAAATAATCAAGACTATCATAACAATCACACAACACCCATTTACCTGCAAAGTATACAAGAACTTCTCCCGAAGCCAGAATGTCGCTGTCACTCCCTTCTGCCCCATGAGCGACCACCAACACCGTCACCCCCACCAACATTTTGGGCTGATCAGTATCATCGAACGTGATAATGCAGCTGTTCGCGTCAATGCTGTCTGGGGCCTCACTGAAAGCAATGTGCTGCGGGGCTATGTTATCCTTTGGAGGGTCGATCATAACAAAGTCCACGTATTGGATCCCGGTGACCTCTGTTGCAGCCGAAACCGTTAGCTGTGTTTGTATGGGCGATTCGGACATTTTGGAGATTCGGGCGATGTTCAGGGTCGTGACGGATGCTAGAGACAAAGAAGGAGGGATAGTTGTTTTGTCTGGATGCTTAGGGGTATTTAAGTGAGACACAGAGAGAGAGAGAAAAAAAAAAAACGAAAAAAATGGTCTTCATCTTATTAGCTTTTTTTTTTTTTTTCTCTCTCTCTCTATTCTTCTGTGTTCATACTTTTTTCCTTATAACCCTTTAATATTGCTACAATCTTCCACAGGATTTGGAAACATGATATAATTCACAGAAACCATTTAATATTACCGATATTAAATATTTAAGGTACTAGTGCATGGATTAAGGTTCTAAATGGCCCTTTCTTCACTTGAACTTCCGCCCAGAAGTTCGTACATATAAACACATATATGATGAAGTATTCATTAATCTTTTTTGGATTCATTGATGCCTTACCTGTAGTTGCTGGCACTGCGGTAGACACAGCCACAATATCTTTCTGGACCTCTGCTTTGTATGCCATATTTGCCTTCAGCATAGTATAATATGCTTTACAGGCTCTTTGCTCAGAACCACCACACTGAACAGATACGTCAGTGAAGCCTTCAGAAACTTCATTGTTAACGTGTACATTAAATAATTGGTCACTGGAAGCTCGCCACCTAACCTCGACAACCCCGGAGTCACTGAACCTCAGGGCACTAGTCTGAAAGTCTACAACAGAGAGAATAAGATGGAGTGGGGAATTATATACCAATGGTGTTGAAATTTAAGTCATCTAAACCACTAAGATGTTCGAGACTGTATAAGAAACCCTCTGACCTTCAACGTCTATCAGTTTAGCCCCTGAGACGGCGTCGGGATCAGCCACACCCACAGCAAGGAACTTAAAAGTAGTCTTTAGTCCAGCCAGGATTGTCGTGACGTCAGAAGAACATGTATTCTCAGTCACACACGAAAAAGACTCGGACACTTTCCCGCTCTCTCCGGCATTATACATGACAGCCTCCATGCTTGTGAAAGTCGACGAAACGGTTATTGTGGATTTGCCTTCCGCTTCGTGGCTCAGTTCGACCTTCTGCACTTCCATGTCTAGAAGGCAAAATGCAGCGGTTTAGAAAGAGAAATTAAAATGCAGAATAAGTAGAAGGAAACGCTGTATTTTTGTATTAATTTATGATTTATAAATAATTCATACATCGTGATTATTATTGCGCTTCTATGATTATGGTTAATAAAGAATGTTATCATGATATTGATTATTTCATGGTCATTAATCATGAAAAAGCAAATATAATGGAAAGTATTGTGAAAATTCACAAAGCTTATGCTAAATGAATTTATTGTAAGGATTATTATCCTTATTAATAGAATCGCAATATTTAAAAATAATAATGGACATCATCACAAATGAGAGAAAAAAAATATCACCAGCAACATTTTGTGGAGTCTGAGTCAGATCACACTGGTTAAGTGTTGTTCCTGTGGCCGCTGTGTTGTCGAGGGTCACACAAATTTCGATGTTAGAGGAAGCGTCGAAGTCCAGCAAGTAGAACGTTCCTTCGGGAAACTGGATGTTGTTGATCAACAGTTCTTGGTTTGCGTGGATTCTCAGAGGCGCCGTGTCTTGACCTCCGACCCAGTTTATTGTTGGCTTTATATCTGGGAAGGAGAAGGGGCTTTTGTTTTCACTTTGTCTTGTCTTGAGAAGGGAAGTGGAAGGAAGGGACATACACGCACAGACACACACACACACGCACAAACACATGCACACACACACACGCACGCATGCACACTCACTAACACAAACACACACAAACGGGCTTACGTCACAAACCTCTTTCCAAGAGCTTATACAAGGCAGGTGTAGACTGTTACCCTGAATCAACGTCCCTTCGAACTCACAGCGCAGCCACGATATTGTAGTGACCAAACATGTCCATGGAATACAGCTACCTACATAAATGCTCCTCCAGGTGCCCCTCCCTCCTAAAAAAAAAAAAAAACCCTGCAAGGGTCACCATGAAATACAGCTACCTACATAAATGCTCCTCCAGGTGCCCCTCCCTCCTAGAAAAAAAAAAAAAAAATACTCACCTGCAAGGGTCACCATGAAATACAGCTACCTACATAAATGCTCCTCCAGGCCCCTCCCTCCTAGAAAAAAAAAAAAAACCCTGCAAGGGTCACCATGAAATACAGCTACCTACATAAATGCTCCTCCAGGTGCCCCTCCCTCCTAGAAAAAAAAAAATACTCACCTGCAAGGATCACCATGAAATACAGCTACCTACATAAATGCTCCTCCAGGTGCCCCTCCCTCCTAGAAAAAAAAAAAAAAATACTCACCTGCAAGGATCACCATGAAATACAGCTACCTACATAAATGCTCCTCCAGGTGCCCTTCCCTCCTAGAAAAAAAAAAGAACACTCACCTGCAAGGGTCACCACGACTTTCCCAGCGGCCAAAGCCTCGGAATCCACCCCGTCTCTCCCATGCACAACGAAGAGGAGGGTCAGCTCGACGCCCGTGCTTGGCAGCTCTTCCACGTCGAATACCGCGGTCGTGTCTACGTTAATGATACAGTTCACGCTCTTGAAGGTCATGTGTTGCGTCGCCTCGTTGTCGGAAAGAGGCTCGATCACCACGAATTCGAGGTATTCGATGCCTATGACCTCTGTGTCAGCGGTGACCGTCAGCTGCGTCTGGAGAGGGTCCTTTGAGACCTGGGCGATTTTGGTGATGGTCACTGGTATTCCTGATTCTGAATTGAGCAAGTAGAATACTTGTTAGTTCTCATATATATATATATATATATATATATATATATATATATTATATATATATATATATATATATATATATATATATATATATATATATATATATATATATATATATATATATATATATATATATATATGTATATATATATATATATATATATATATATATATATATATATATATATATATATGTGTGTGTGTGTGTGTGTGTGTGTGTGTGTGTGTGTGTGTGTGTGTGTGTGTGTGTGTGTGTGTGTGTGTGTGTTTGTTTACGTGTGTGTTTACATCATCTATCCATACACACACACACACACACACACACACACACACACACACACACACACACACACATATATATATATATATATATATATATATATATATATATATATATATATATGAAACGTATCCATGTTGACAAATGTAGAAAAGGTATGAATGAGACTGGATATCTTCACAATACAAGAGATGTATTAGTCCGGTTTCGATTACGTCTTCATCAGAAATACATGTATTTCTGATGAAGACGTAATCGAAACCGGTCTAATACATCTCTTGTATTGTGAAGATATCCAGTCTCATTCATACCTTTTCCTATATAATATATATATATATATATATATATACATATATATATATATATATATATATATATATATATATATATATATATATATATATATATATATATATATATATGTATATCATATAGATAGATAGATAGATATAGATATGCATACATAACCTATATATAAACACACACATGCATACATACACATATATATACATACATATATGTATATGTATGTGTGTGTATATATATGTGTGTGTGCATGTATACGTATGTATGTATAAACCACCAATAAAATAAAAAAAAGCCGCCAGGAGCACTATTTGCGGGGTGTGGGTAAACAATATAACGAAGGGAAGAAAACACACGGAAAGGACTTCAGCATATCCGTGTGTCTTCTGAGCATACTTTTCGTTCGATAAGAAATTTTTTAGCCAACAAAATATTCAATGTGCTTTTCAGCCAAATGATCCGAGACTCCCTTTCCTGCCGTTTTGGTGGGAAAAGGTCTACAATATTGCAACTCCGAGGCGTTTACTGATAGTCTTAAGTAGACTGGCCGTTTGCTTTAGTTTTCCGGGTTGTTTGCAATGGGAAAATGACCAGAAATTGTAGTTACGGACATAATTTGCAGTAAGAAGTGAATAAGCTTTTGTTGTTTCCGCGTAAATTCTGCGTTTTCGGTGGCTATTGTGTAGAATGGCGAGGTGCAAAACATGGCTGTAATAGTTGATGTGTATCATGTGAAGTGCACAAACTGATAATGAATAATAAATCAAATAATTGATATAAAGTAAGTCGCTAAACCTTCCCACCTTGACACCTGCAAAAAAAAAAAAAAAAAAAAAAAAAAAAAAAAAAAAAAAAAAAAAAAAGAAGGAAAGAAAATAAAAAGTAATATATATTTTTTCTTTCTATATATATATATATATATATATATATATATATATATATATATTATATATACATATACATATACATGAGGAACCCGACATAAATCATTGTACCATTTTTCAATAGTCCTTGGCTAAATTATGAGGCGTATTTAAGACAGCTAATATTTTTTCAAGCTAAATATTAGGAATCTTTGTGGGACTAGGCAATTCTTACTTCATTTCTCGTACATGTCGGTGATTGTACACACGTACGCGCAGCGCACACACACACACACACACACACACACACACACACACACACACACACATATATATATATATATATATATATATATATATATATATATATATATATATATATACCTATCTGTCTATCTATATGAGTGTGTGTGTGAGTGTGTGTGTATGTGTGTGTGTGTGCATGTGTGTATAGATGTGTATATATATATATATTTATGTATATGTATGTATATATACAGTATATAAATATGCATATATATATATATATATATATATATATATATATATATATATATATATATATATATATATATATATATATATATATATATATATATATATATATATATATATATACATATACATATATATACATATATATATATATATATATATATATATATATATATATATATATATATATATATATATATATATATAATGTGTGCGTGTATATAGGCATACACAAATAAACACAAACACACACACATCGACGTATGTATGTATGTTTGCATGTGTGTGTGTGCCTTTGTGAATGACTTGTCCTTGTCCTTTCTCTCTCACCTTGTCCTGCTGGCACTGTGGCAGAAACAACTGTGATCCCTCTTTGCAGCTCGGCCTTGTAGGGCTTATCTGCTTCCAGCTTGGTGAAGTAAGCTTTGCAGGCCCTGTTGTCAGCCGCTCCCGTCCCGCCGCACGCCACGGAAACGTCAGTGAAGCCGTCTGGAACGTCAGCGTCCAGGTGGATCTCGTAGGTTTCCGCACTGTCGGCTCGCCACCTTACCTCGAGGTCGCCGGTGCCACTGAATCGCTGAACACGGACCTGGAAGTCTAGAAAGGAGACCCACTGAGCACGAGGGAGAGAAATCGAAGCCTTATACTCAAAATGGAGGCTAAAGTTGATAATCAAAATGAGAGCAATATCCATCAGTGAAGACAAAGGACGGAAGGAATCCAACTAACCTTCAAAGTCAACCACCTTTGCCCCCGTCACCGCCCCTGCGTCCACACCCACGACGAGGACCTTGAACGCTGGACTTAATCCTGATATTTGGCCACTGATGTCGGGAGAAGAACAGGTGTCCGGGGTATCGCAAGAAAAGGTTTCGGGTACTACCCCTGTGTCACCGCCATGGTACAGGACAGCTTCCATTCCAGCGAAGGTCGAGGATACAGTCATGACGTGCTTTCCTGCGTCATAATTCAGCTCTACCGTATTGATGCTCAAATCTGGAACGCAGAGTACAAGTGAAAATAACGGGGGAAAATATCATTTAATGGCTCTTGAATAATCTATTGTGGTATTCCAATAATGGACAATATGATTATACCGTAACCACTGCATGATGTTGCTATCACAAAAAAGACGGGCAAAATACAGATACCCGATAATGAAAATAAGAATATGAACCAATGGAATTACGCATAACTAATGGAATGATAAGAATCACAAATTAATGTTGCCTCACTCTGTATATGTCCTATATGATAAAGACAACGAAATACCTCCTGCGTTCTGAATAGCCTGAGTCCCATCGCACTGCAGAACCGTTCCGCCCTCGACTGCGTCCACGAGGGCCACGCACAGCTCGGGTGGACTCGGATTGGCTTCGAAGTCCAGGATGTAAGACGTTCCGGCGTCGCACGCGTTCCCGTTGACGTCCAGTTTCAGACTGGTCTCGATTCGCAGTGGCGCTGTATCTGGGCCTCCGACCCACGTCATCGTGGGCTCGATAACTGAGGTTGATAATGTCAATTTTAAGTTTCTCACTTCGTTTAATTTTCAGTGTGTTGCGAGATTTATAATATATGTGTGTGTGTGTGTTTTCTGATATGCTACATACTCTTCAAAGACAATCGTCAAAAAGCGCAATAACTGGAACAGTAATTTACCTTGGAATGTCACTACAACTTTCCCGGCTGCCAGGGCGTCGGAGTCGACACCGTCAGGCCCGTGGACAACCACCAGAACCGTCGACTCTGCGCCTGGGTTCGGCAGCTCCCCGACGTCGAATGTAATATCGTTGTCTCCTTCTGCAATGCCCTCGTTGGTGTCCTTGAAGACGATGCGCTGTTGCCTCGCCATCAGCAGGAGGGTCGATCACCACGCATTCGATGTATTCGACCCCCGTGACCTCTGCTCCGGACGAGAACGTGAGCTCCATTTGCAAGGGAGTTCTCGACACCTCCGCGATGCGGGTAATGGTGACAGGTGTGTCAGTTCCTGCAGGCGGGGAGATAATGTATATATATATATATATATATATATATATATATATATATATATATATATATATATATATAATACGTATATGCACATACATACATATATATGCACATATATGTATATATATATATATATATATATATATATATATATATATATATATATATATATATATATATATATATATATATATATATATATATATATATATATATATATATATATATATATATATGTATATATAATATATATATATATATATATATATATCATATAATTATACATATTTACATACATACATATATATATATATATATATATATATATATATATATATATATATTATATATATATATATATACATTACATATATATCTATCTATCTATCTATCTATATGTTTATGTATGAATATATATGTATATACGTATATACACATACATACATATATATATATCCACATATATCTACAAACACACACACACAGTATATATATATATATATATATATATATATATATATATATATATATATATATATATATATATATATATATATATATATATATATATATATATATATATATATATATATACATATATATATATATATATATATATATATATATATATTATATATATATATATATATATATATATATATATATATATATATAATACACACGCACACACACACACACACACACACACACACACACACACACACACACACACACACACACACACACCATATATATATATATATTATTCATGTGGACAAATAGGTATATATATCACAATACAAGAGATGTATTTAATTATGTATTTCTGACGAAGATATAATCGAAATCAAATACATGAAGATATCATTATATATATATATATATATATATATATATATATATATATATATATATATATAAATATATATATATATATATATATATATATATATATATATATATATATAATATATATATATATATATATATATATATATATATATATATATATATATATATATAATGTATATGTGCGCATACATATATTGACATGCATACACACACAGCCACATGTGTGTCTTTAAAGGCCACTATAATCCCCTTCCCTTCCCTCTCACCTGGCGCTGCTGGCACTGTGGCAGAAACAACTGTGTTATCTCTTTGCAGCTCGGCCTTGTAGGGCTTATCTGCTTCCAGCTTGGTGAAGTAAGCTTTGCAGGCCCTGTTGTCAGCCGCTTCCGCCCCGCCGCACGCCACGGAAACGTCAGTGAAGCCGTCTGGAACGTCAGCGTCCAGGTGGATCTTGTAGGTTTCCGCGCTGTCGGCTCGCCACCTTACCTCGAGGTCGCCGGTGCCACTGAATCGCTGAACGCGGACCTGGAAGTCTAGAAGGGAGACCAAAAGGCTTTTCAGTAACGTCCCCGAGATCCAGACATTTTAGCATATCGCCAAAACACGTTTTTTTCCCTTTGAGGGCATATTATTGGAACGTGTTAATGACGTCTCTCCCATCTTTCTTCTTCTTCTTCTTCTGACATGAAATTCAGTGACATGCTTCATCCGGCCCATAAGAGCGTGATATACGTACGTCTTAGGGACGTGTTTTCACTCATGACAAATTGTTCGTATGTTTCTTGATCTAAAATTGATATATAAATGCGTTGAAAATGTTTCTGTGATGCCTTACATCATATCAGATGCAAGGTCACACCACACGGGTAAAACTTAAAGTCATTTATGAGTCGCTAAAATGACAACGGATTTCCATGTGTCCGAGTGATTTGAAAACTATTAATGAAAAGGTTTTATATCTTGATTTCTTGATATAAAGGGCAAGCAGTATGACCAGTTAATGCTTGAGATTAATGGAATTACCCTGTTGTGTGAGAATCATTGTGTAAATATAATATGCGAGGGTCATTTCGCTACCCAGAAGAGCTTAAGAGATTTCCGGGATTTCCGAAATTCCAAATTGTTTTACCGGGATTTCCGGATTTCCAGACAGATTTGACAGGGATTTCCATATTTCTAGAAAGATTTGTCAGGGATTTCGGGATTTCTAGAGATTTGTCAGCGATTTCGGGATTTCCAGACAGATTTGTCAGGGATTTCCGGATTTCGAGGGATTTTCAAAAAATTCAAAGGCGTATATGAACCATTAAATCGTAAATATTTAATAACTCAGCTGTTATCAATTGCTTACTGCAATGCTTCAACACGAAATGCATTACTTTACCATAGAACATGACTCTGCTTAAGGTTACTGTGACCCCTTTTCGTTTTCGTCATAATCTGATGCATTAACCTCGTGATTAACTATTTGAGTATTGTTAAAAGCAACACACTTCTAGCAATAACTACAAGTACTTGGAAATTTGACCATCTTAAAGGAGCAATCCTGTTTCTGAAAAAAGGACGAATAGACATCAGGGGATTAAGCCTTATTGCTTGACTTATGCCTAATCGTTTCTCCGGCATTATCGTTACAACTTGATAAAAGCCTTACGGTAAAGGATTCTGCAATACTGGTAGGTACTTTTCCAGAAAAAGGATTAAAAGCCTTTCCCATTAAAGGATTCTGTAATACAGGTAGGTACTTTCCCATAAAAAATCCCAATAAAGGATTCTGTAATACAGGTAGATAATTTCCCATTAAAGGATTAAAAGCCTTTCCCATTAAATGATTCTGCAATACTGGAAGGTACTTTCCCACAAAAGGATTAAAAGCCTTTCCTATATAAGGATTCTGTAATACAGGTAGGTACTAAAAATCTCTGGGTACCCAACATGCCAATAAAATAGCATGGAACTTGGCACACAGGGTCACAAAGCATATAACTACAAAACCGTGACTTTGATTTCTGATAAACCCACCTGTCCGATTTTTAAAAAGATTTGAAGTTTAAAGAAGGCATTTTAAACATTAACATTAATTTAAGATGGCACTACTTTAAGACCATGTACGGAGCACGTTTTTTGTGGTTGTGTTTATCCATCGAAATCCATGGCAACTGAGGAAAAGCTCATGCACAGCGGCCTCAACATGGCACTCTGCCCTTCAACTGCTCAGGCGTTTGTCGAGTTTCATGACACTTTTTCATCAATTTTAAAGACATTTTCTGTACTATTACCAAGATTTTGTAAAAGCCATTTGCAATAATATAGGATTCTTGTGATTTCCTGATTTCCGGGTTTCTTAAGAATTTCGTGAGGATTTCCGGATTTTTCTTTTTCGGATTTCCGACAATATATATATATATATATATATATATATCTAAAAGACACTAGAAAAAAAATATATATTTATATATGTATAAATACAAGGTGTGTCAGAAAAGTACCAGTACTGATGTCACTGGGGGATCATTCACTGCAAGTTCTTGCCACGGGGCCAGACAATCAGCTAGCATGTCTACAAAGAGATACTGCAGCGTTTGCTTCGTTCAGTACGTGAGAAGAGGCGAGAGTTGTGACTGGACAACTCATGGCTGTTTTATCATGACAACACTTCTGCTTACAAAGCCCTGAGCATCCGACAGTTCCTGGCCGAGAAGAGCATTGCAACCTCCCTCTTCCCCCGATCTGGCTCCGTTTGATCTTTTCCTCTTCCCCAAGCTCAAGGATTCCGGAAGAATCCTTCCAGGAGTGCATGCAAGCATAGCAGAGAAGAACGAGATAATGCTTTACACTCCAGGGGGATTACTTTGAAGGGGAAACCTCTTGTTGAAAAAAATCTTTTGTGACATCAGTCCTGGAACTTTTCTGACACACCTCGTATATATATCCGTTTTTTAGCGACTATTTATATGAAAGAAAGAAAACTCTATATGTAAGAAAAGAAATTGATGATCTGATCTGAAACGCTCATGTCTTGTTGTGACCACATCGATGTTAGGGTTTACAGATGCTACAAAAGGGCCTCAAGTGAGCAGGAGAAAGTGTGGCTAAAAACAACACTCAGAATCGAGGCTAAAACCAATACTCGAAATGAAAACAATAACCATCAGTGAACAGACAAAGGACCGAACCCAACTAACCTACAAAGTCAACCACATTTGCCCCCGTCACCGCCCCTGCGTCCACACCCACGACGAGGACCTTGAACGTTGAACTTAATCCTGATATTTGGCCACTGATGTCGGGAGAAGAACAGGTGTTCGCGGTGTCGCAAGAAAAGGTTACGGGTTTTATCCCTACGTCTCCGT